AGCGGTCAGAGTACTTGGTGAAACAAAGTTGTATGAAGGTGAACGCTTGCTCCGTGGTGGCTCAGCTGCGACTTTCTATTTACAATTCTACCCACCTCGTAATAACAAACCTCGATGAAAGTTGTTGTGGCGCCCTTAAGGAGAAACAAAGCCCCAGAGCTACTGACACACTGGATGAATTGGTAAAAAAACTGCAATGTTTATTTGACAGACTAATTTGTACCTAAGGGTGCATTTTGGGGGCAGTGCTGCTGACGGGGCCCCTTCGATAACATAAGTGGACATGGCGCCCCGTGTCAGAGCCGGTTTGCTGGCATGAAGGTGAAGGAAATCGAGCTAAGTCATGGCACCCCAAAGTGGAACCTCAAATCTCACTTCATTAGTTCAAGCTATCTTCCTGGATTATCGAAACGTGTGGTGATGTTCACCTAGGTCTCGATAGTAGCAACTTTATAACTCCTTTTCACATATGTGGGCAATTAATACAGAAGCGCAAACGTCATTCACGACAGAATAACAACCTGATTTGGCTATTTAGAAAAAGGCTGTGTTTCCTCTATCTATGATCTTCTTGGGTACCTGTGTAGAATAATTGGGCCAAATTCAACGCCGAGAACTCTATGTGATGTGTGACCATATTACGGAGCCCACAACGGAAGCCCTACATAAAAAGGCACTTATAGCAACTCTCGAGATTACTCGTATTAAGGAATAGTGTCTTACCCGCGTGAAACAGAAGCTGGCGATAGAATTTAGTTACACTCAACAAGAAATTTAGCAGTCATCATAGATTGAATGCCCTGTGAAATGCCAAGACTGAACTGTTATTCACAGTTTATTACCGTCTGGTCTATTTGACCTCTGTAAAATTCGTCAGTATTTTGTTACTGCTGATCCTTGATAGCTATGGGAACATTGTCGATGTACTAAAACAGGCAATTTAATAAATTACATTAGTTATAACGGCAGAGATAAATATGCTTACATAGTTGGAAACATCTAAATGCATTTAAGCAATTTTGAGTTAGCTGAGTGTTGGCCTTATCGTGGCATTGAATACATTGAATATTTTTACGACTTCCTGATTTCAGGTCAGTAAAAATTCAATTGTCAGCAATGAACGGGAATTATAATATGCATCGTGTAGAAATGCCACTGACTTTGTTAAAAGCATTTAAGACATTAGGGTGGCCAACAACTCCACCACTAAGTGATCGCCCGAGGACAAACGAATTGATGGCGACTGAATATTGTCGGAGCTGTGATTTTTCTTGTGCTGAATCATGTGTTCACATGAACTCTTGGCCATTGAATAATGTCCTGCAAATATCGATGATCTGTAGAGTTAAATTGCAGACCATTTGTATAAAATTGTACCTAACCATGTGTTGAATATTGGAAAGCCGATGAATAACTTTGTTATAGTCTTAGCATTATAATAGCAAGTAATGCTATTATAATGGACATTGGATTTCTTCGAAACAGTCCAAGCAGGAGAGACCACGATGCACGCTTCATGGAATCGAGGGAATAATCGATGATAATGATCGAATGGTTCAATTGCTGTGGTCATAATTACTCAAGATATCAAACAAAAATATTGAAACTCAACAGCTAGTACTTCCTAATCGTATTTTAAAAAAGGCGAACCGTTTAATTTAGAAAACGTATTAGTATTATATCATTGATTTTACGAACATGAGATGACTGTGTAAAAATAATGTAAAATAACCAAACAGAAGAAAATTCAGTACTTTTGTACTTAGTTTAACAAAATTTTTTGGCCATGTGATCTTCAGACCTGATTTGAAGATTTTTAGGTATCTTTCATTTGTATGGATTGCATGACATCTGCAACTTAAAAAAAAATTGCGCAGCACTACTTATCACTAAAATTTGCTAAGTTTAGCCTTAGTAGAACATTTAAGGAAACTTTAACCATTTAAAAGAGACACATCATAATTGACCCCTGTTACGGTTTCCAAAAGTGTAATCATCTTGCACGGAAGTTCTCAGCAAATATTCGATAAATTTCGCCTATATCAATTAGGAATCATTGTATCCCGAATGGTTTTTTGCGTACAATGCATTAAAGATCCAACTGACATTTTTGAAGAATTTATGCAAGTAATTTCGGCTATTTTGTTTAGGTGCACACAAGCTGTTTGCGCACTTTTCTAGCATCTTCGTCGAGGTCGACAAATGGCTTATCGTGTTTCGGAAGGCCGCTTCGAATGTCCCATATGCTCCATGAGGTACACTAATGCACGATTTTGTGTATGTATTTTGTGCATACGTGCGTGCTCATTCATACATATGGACATGCAACTTTTTTGAGAAAATCACGTTAGTAAGAATTTCAGGATTACTTGATTTACTCATACTTCTGTTGCTGCTCATGCACAATTGGTCCGGTGATACTATGGTCTATATTCATGCATATTCGTTGCATAAGGTTTGGCATGTTATTTATATTCCTCTGCTGTGAAGACTAATGAACAGTTAGCGGTTCATCTTAAATTAGGTTATCATTTGGCATCAAATCTGTATTTTTTAACATGTTAACAAAATAGTGTACTTTTCATGGGTACATCCCACACTAGCTAGTTGTATTAGTCGCGTCATTTTTGTAGTGCATGTTGGTATTTGTTTATCATTTAGTTTTGGATACGATGCATTAAATCATATGTTCTCGACTGGCTTGTACCCATTTTCCGATTTTTTGACATTTCGAGTTGTTTATGGTGAAGCTTCCGGCTTTTACGTTTGCTTATGCGTCACATTTTAGGGAGGGTTGCATCCTTTGTGTTATTTCTATGCAGTGTCTATACTTCAATAGAATTTTGAACCCAGATGCATTAATCCATGGCGGCAAACATCCAACTGTCAAGTAATATATTCTTCGACTTCTATCTTGTGCTCGAATGCTGTGTTGGATGGTCCTTTTAGTGAATGAGGTTAAGGAGCTGTTGGGTCTTGTCATTGTAATTAAGTCGTTGAAGTATCTGAAATTAGCTTCTGTATTTCCTGTCGAAGTTTTAGTAGTTTTTTTTATCACATATATGAGTGTTTCAGATGTTATTTGATTCTATTTAGAGGGAAATTATTTGTTTTTGAAATATGCTTTCTCATTGGCTGTTTAAAGATTCACTGATCCATGCGCGATCCCATGTCATCACGTTTTTTGCCGCGCTTGCATCACGGATTGGCTCAGACGATCTCCGATCTGTCCTACGTGCCGCAAGCCAGCCCATGTAAATGAAGTTGCCAAATTTCATCTCATCGCCGGCATAATGGAAGATGCGCAAACAGAAGAAAGCAATCCCTGTGGTGCCTGCGGCAAAGGTGGACTTGCCCTCATCAACTGTGAGCATTGCTCAAAGTCCATATGTTCGACCTGTCAGGCGAACCACATCGAGGAGGCAAGTGTACAATGCGGCCAGATGTAACCGTACCCTAATTAGATACAAAACAGATAAAAGCAGCAAAATTGTAATGCTGTTTAACAATATCGTATCCGTATTTTAGTTAATGGTCTGCAAATGAACACATTTGCAAAATCGGGTGACAAAATTTTGCTTCATTTACTTACATTTTCTAATGGTGTTTAGAATTCGGTTGCACCTAGGCATTTCATCTTGATACGTGAATGCCTTTTAGTTAAGTGACTTGGCTTAGGTGTAAGGTTCTGCCAGTTTAATTGATTTCACCCAGGTAGCTGGTCATAAGTTTATGTGTTTGTGGTGGTATTAAAAAGGTTAATAGAACCACGAATTTCTGATTTGTCAAGGTAACCTGTTTGCATATCAATTCCCCAATTTCGAGGCCGCTTCAGCGTATCACTGGTCATAGCAAAATTAGTCTCTAATGTTGGTTTACGGCTAAGGCTATTTATCACACTAGTTATTCGATTGTGTTAATTGTAGGATGTCAGTGTTTATTAGCAACAACGCAAGGAATGGTATGGGCGTAAAATGTAGACACATTCATGGTTATGTGTTTCATCTCACGAGACTGGTGTTGTAGGTTTAGGCCTCTGTGTATTTAATGTAGCAGGCTATTTGTACCTAAATTTTTTTGGGAGCAGGGTCTCTTTTCACCGAGCCACTGGGGAGGTTGGGGCAAAGTCGTACGACTTTCTTATTTCTACTATTCCATTTCCACTTCGGAATAGTATTAAATTTGTGTATTTGCAATTTTGTTCTTCAGTGCGCTTTCAACTGAGAAGGTTGTTTTCGACTGTCAGCAATAGGCCTCATAGAGGTGTTAATTTATCCTTTGTACTCTTCAAACTTCTGGGTTTTTCTATTTTTCGCAAATGTGTTCACAACATCACTATTTATTGCTTAAGAATAAACCATTGTTCCTTTGAAAAAAAGTTGTACTGAGTAGTTAGAGACAAGGTTTTGTAATAAAAGGGCTTTTGGCCTTAGCTTAACGATTTCAACAAAATTATTTCTATTTTAAAAAATAAACTAGGATTCAAATGAAAACGTCATGTAGTATACTCACGTTCGTATAGGATGACAACTACATAATACACAGTTTTGCTAAATATCAGATCTCGACAGTGTATGAATGACGTTATAATCAGTTGCAGGTGTTGCATTGTTCGCCAGTCGTTCTGGCTTGGTACGTTATCCCTGTCACCATCCGCATCGCAATTAAATAGACTTCAAGATTTTAGCCGTTGTTTTGTGAATCGCTTGCCACCAAAGTCAGCCTCATTGTGTCCGTGCCCACCTCGAAGCCGTTGCAAATGGAATTTTTTATTTCTGCGTTCTCTCAAGAACTCTGTAAAGCAATGTTCGTTTATTGCTTTTTACTTTTCAAGGTTAAAAAGGAGATTACGCAGCTTTGTGATACACTGACAACTGTAACTGCGCCAAAACTTGAAGAACAGAATGAAGCGATTATAATGCTAATGTCAGAATCGACAGCCGCAAAGGATCGCTTAACTGGGGAGCTACGGGAAGCCCATGAAACGCTTGTAACTCAAATTTACAGTCTTCGTCAGAAAAGTTTGGATATTCTAAATAAAATTGAGACGTGCCACCCTGATGCGAATGAGAACCTTACTAGCATTGATGCTCTCATTGCGAGGATCGAAACCCTCTCGTCTTCGTCCGTTAAGATTATTGCGGAGAGGGTATGTTGTTTCTTTATCTTAGTGTTCACGTTTCAGCCAAAATCAGTTAAGCTCTTGAACAGCAAGTAAGTTGGAATAACTCCTGGTGCAATTTATGAAATATTGCTGTCGTATGAAAAACTGTCTGCGAAATTAATAGTACCTTTTGTCGCAATAAAGCACGTTGTTATTGCTTTTTTGGGAGCAAGACCAGTGACTAGGTTGGGTGGCGGTTAGCTTTATGGCTAAAGTGTTGTCTCCCTGGCGTCATACTTAAAGTTTAACACAAGCTTTTCTAATGCATTTTTCCGTCTCTACTTGATGCACATGGTGTTTGCAATGCATTTTGTACGTTCAAGCCGTGACTGGGTCTGATTTCTGGAGTGATGCTTGCGGCTGAAATTGTGTAGGTTCTGACCTAATCTGAATTGTCTGCGTTTACTAACGGGCTGATGGAAGTTATTTGTTTCTGAGCTCTGGTAACTAGGAGTTTCATTCAAAAATCATCTAGTAGCCAGTTCTGTTCTCATTATTAAAAAAAAATTATTTCCTTTCTTTTTTAGGATATGAGCAAGCTGATGCAATTGGACAAGGATATTGCCCAGCTTCAAGATGACATTAACTCGTTTCAGTCACAGGAAGCGAGTGTAAACATTAAAAGTTTGGACATAAACCAAAGTAAAATCACTCTGGATAATGTAAAAATCAATCCCGCTTATAAATATGTGAGTTTGCCCAAACTCTGTGCTTAATATATATATATTATCACGGGCTAAGCTAGCGATTCAAGTAGAGCAAGTTCAGTGCCAGCCCAAATGGCTAATGAGGTTTTTCGAAATGGTCACGTTTGAATTTTTCGATTCCCTTTGGTAATTAATATTCTCTAACATTCTAAAATGACTAAATGTTTTTATGAGAAAACAAAAGAAAATGTTAATCCGCTGCACCTTTTAGTGGAGTCAATAGCGATTGTGGCTAGTGAAATCTTGTTCTAAATAGCACCAGATGGAAGGGAGATTGTGCTGCAGTTTTGGTTTAAAAAAATAGAGCATTTGGGTAGTTCGGTCCCCTAGGTTGTATTAATACTGTTCCGCCCAAGGGTAATGTATATTTGGACATCTGAATGAGGTGGGCAAGTTTGCATTTTTTCTGTCAAATTTTTCCTGCCTTTACGACGTGCCTTTTTTAGATTGCTGCGGTAATCGAAGAGACTGAAATGCTCAAGAAAGCAGTTGTTTAATCCGCTACAGCTACTTGATTGGTTTTCACTCTACCGTCTTCCTATCTTTAAACCTACTTCCTTTATAATACACAGCTTTTTATTCCAAGTTATCTTTTTGCGCAAAGGTAATCGCATCGAAATTAATGCATGTATTAACGAGACTGATGCGTTTGTTGCAAACTCCACTTTGCTTAGAGCCAGAACCACCCGTAAGAGTTTGATGCTTTAGCACTAAATAAATTTTATTTTATGAAAAAAAGAAAAATGGAGCTTGTCACTAAAGGTACAGGTAATTGTTACTTACCACGTCTACTCATTTTCCCTTCTTGTTTCGTAGTTAGAAAATCTCGCTAACGGATCGTCGTTGTACCAGTTTGTGTCCTTGTAGAAAAATTCAGAAGGTTTTAATGGAGTGCAAGTTTATTTCAACGTTTCGTGTTTACCAGTCATGTACACAATGTAACAAGGGCGTAGGTTTTTTTAGGTAATTCCCATAATCAGAGGTCCCACAATGCCTTCGGTTGTGGGGCTACCCTGAATGAGTCTGATGTCGTAATAGCCTATAAGCCTACAGTTCAATTTTTAAGGAAAAGTAATTAAATAGAAATAAAAAGGTAGTAAACTTTAGGATTGCTTTTTTTGCGAACTACAACGTTGCTACCCCAAAAGTATCGTCGGCTGCTTGAGGTTACGTGGTGACTGCGAGATGTCAATGATGGCGAAGTAACCGGTTGTGCTTTTGCTGGTCTTTGAGAAGTAAATTGAATGAAGCCGATGTAATTTGGTGCGCACAAACCCTTTTATGGGTTTCTGAAGCTCTTTCCACAGATGACTGAAAATGCTCTGTAAAATACTGGGCACATTGCCTTATTTCTCCACACGCCTCGTAGCGATTGATTCTGATAAGTCAAACCTTCAGATATCTGCAATGCGGTATCAACATATCCTTATGCGTCTCAACACGGCACGTACTGGAAGTTACGGCCCTTGTCTCCTTGCAGAAGGCTTGTAAAGTACCTAATATGTGCACTCCCGCTAAGAGGACATTTCGGATTAACGTTTCGCCCTCTCTAATTTCTCAGTATGGAGTCGCATTTGAAGGATTATTCATTAACCACTCCTTCATTTTGCCTCAGCTATGTCGTCTCCCGATGCTTACATGTTTTTCGATGAGAAGGAAAAAGAACAATTTATAAAATGCCCTTATTGCGACGAACAGTGAGTTATGATATTGTTGACATGCTTTGCATGCTATCTTTTTTGCTTGGACTTATATCACACCACTAGTCAAAATTCGTGAAAAAATTCAATTAATCCTGCTACTCACCCTTGTTTACCAGAAAATCCAGCCTTCGTATAAAAATAAACACAAAATATGAATTGTGCTCGTTTGAAATATTTGGTGGCTATAAATATCGATAATTAGTAAAAATATGCCGAAGTTATTTTTTCAACTCGAAAGATTGTAGTATGTTGTAGGGTGCTATTTCTTGATGAAAAGAATAATTACTCTTTCCACCTCGTTAATTCCAGGCCTGTACGATAAAGTGGTTAATACTACTTTGGTAATGGCGTCAAATGTGATAGGACCTCACCCCCTCAACTTAGCGTTGAAGGAAATTCCACATTTCCGAACGGGTGCATTGAGGGCATTATGAAATTTGCTTTCCAAGTGAATTGTGATTTACTTGATTGAATTTGTCCCCGCACTTTAGAAACCTATGTCATAGTTAGATCTGAAATTCTTGGTAGGATTGTGAGGATACGTATAGGATTTGTAATGTACGAGTTAGTTAAACATAATTTAAAGTTAACTACTATTTACATGGTTTGTATTTTATAAAGAAGCATCACTTCAAAGTATCCAAGTATGTCGATCAAATGCTTTTCGACACACTGATTTCACAGTGTCCACATCATAACCACACTGTTGAGGGCGCCGTTGAGCAACCAACTAGTGGGTAGCATAGTTTGCACATTCAAAAACCTGACTTCGTCTGTGTGAGAAATACTCCATAATCGAACCGGCAACCAAGTGTGGTTTTTTTACTTTTGTTGTCTTCATCATTAAAGACTTGATGTTCGACTCCCGACCGAACCCTGCTTTCAAGCGTAATCTGTTGAGTTGTCGCTTGAACTGTGGCCAAACTTCACGTTGGACGATCCTACTCTATTTTCGGTACAAATGTGCAAATTCAACTAAATATAAAAGAACTCATGGCGTCGAATTCCTTCAGTAGATCGTAAATGATAGACTTGCTGTGAATCGCGTTTATTCACACCCCTTGATTCTGTCGTTCCACCTCCGACAGAAGGTTCCCCTTTTCGCAGCATGTCGCAAGCCGCGCGGATCCACAACTCCCCCCTCATTAGCACGAACATTTGTCTTCGATTATCCCCACACCTAGGTCTGGAGGTTAGCTCATGTATGGCTCACACATCTGAGGTATAAGTGCACACGCGCAAATACCACACACGACACAACGACACCAACGTGACTGAGCTCTGAAGTAAACGGTTGTGTCCACGTACTCTCTGTTCTTTTTCCTCATAGCGGATATCAGGGAAACTTAATCGGTCAGGGTTAATCCCGTGGCCCCGGCGTGGTTCAAGACCACATACTGGGGCCCACAACAGACTTTTCGTTGTAATATTCCATGTAAAATTTCATTGTATCTCTAGCCGATGCTCCTTTTGTTCATGTAATCAGAATTAAATGTACTTACGTTACCTTTAGAAAACTATCTTGATTCTCACTCCACTGTGGAGACGCAGTCACCTTTTGTGCGATCTGGGGTTTTTGTGTTAAATTTGAGTAACTCGTAGCCAATCCAGTGTTGCTAATTTTTCAACATCAATCAATAGTTCACCGGAGTCCAGTGCTATAAATATCTTATGATTTAAAGCATTACTAGATTCCGTGCCCATGTGATGCGGTTGCAGAAGTCAATCTTCGTTGTCCTAATTAGCTAATTTCGCACTTGTTCGTATTGCCCACACTCTCTTGTGTCTGAAGACGTTTCCATAAGTTAAAATCGTACTTTGCGCTTAAAGTAGTTTGTCAAAACCGAAATGCAATGCGCATTTTAAATAATGACATGAACAAGATTTTGACTTTTATGATGCAACCAGGCTGTTTGCGGTACCATCACTAACATCTGCTTCCTATGTAGATTTTCGGAACCAGTACAACTGCCCTGTTCACACACCGTTTGCCTCAAATGCTTCAGAGAAAGTCCAACGTGTCCATTTTGTTCAATGCCCATTAATGAGAAGGATATTGAACCAAACAAACGAATGGAGGATTTAATTAAAATCGGGACTTTATTATTTTGCGAATCCTGTCGTCTACAAGGCATTACAGTTCTGAATGAATGTCAGCATTGCAACTTGAGAGTCTGTGTAACTTGCATGGAAAATCACAGAACTATGGTTAGCAACTTGTCGAATTGAACACATACTTTAGTTGACACTATAGGATCACTTTTAAATTGCATCAAGAAGTGATGTGACCTCTGTGGCACATACCTCTATAAGCCTGCTTATGTAAAACTGCGCTTCTAGCATTCACATTGTGTTCTCATAGCCCTACTATGAAGTGCTTACTTTTCAATTTTTTTTATGGCAGGCTCTTGACCGTCTAATAGCATTGATTCAGGATGCAAGACAGAAGGGCAGTTCCTTAAACCAAGTCTACGAAGAATATCAAATGAATCAAATGGTTCCGATGTCCACAAACGATAAAGTTTTTAACACAATTGAATCCCATTTGAGGGATCTGGAAACACGACTAAATTCTCTTTTTGAAAAAATTGGGCAGCAGCGATCTGAATTCGAAAAAGAGTGCACTCAATATACCACCTTCTTGTCTTCGGAATTGCGCAAGCTAGACGAAGGTGAACCTGTTGCCGCAGTAAGTTGGGTGAATTTGCGTCAGCTGGACTAAATTATTTTATCAAAGTCAGTGTGATGAGTGATAAAGTAAATAGTAAAGCTTAAGCGGGTGCAAATTAATTATCCACATTTCCAGAAAAAACATACAATTTGCTGTTTCCTATTTCTGGGTGTACCTTGATTAGCACGTGAAATTATTTTACGTGATTCACGTTCACTTTATGTCAAATACATCCCGAGAATATATCTGCATATCCCCCAGTTCTTTCAATTAGCAGGCATCGAACTTTACCACCGTACTTTGCCATTTGACTCGCTCCAGTTATTGCTCTCCGTCAATCAATTTGGGCCCGTACCGGTCCATAGGCAGCAATGACTCTACTTTGGGAATATTTTTTGCCGTGCACGTACTAGAATTTGACCTTCCGGCCTGCTAACCAAGAAGTTAATTTAAAATAGCGATTTGTCATACTTAGTGTTCCAAAGTCGAGTAGTAACTGTGTTCGGACTGCTGCGGCCTTCAAGTTATTAACAGGCAGTGGTGGTCGGAGTGTATTAAATGCTAATGTACGAAGATAAATTTCTATGTTTGTTCATTAATAGGGGATCTGATGTATATGTAGAGTTGTGTTCTGATTATGCGTGTACTCTGAGCTGAATTGTCCGCTACATGTGGGTGCGAATGCTCTAGTTCAGTGAAAATTTTGAAATTGTGATGGAATGATTTATGTGGAAGCATCCGTTGCGGAATGTTTCCCTGTTGACAGCTTACGTGTAAGGTAATTTTGGTAGACAAATCAAGCCCCTAGTAGAAGTCACTATTCTACTCCAATATCATCTCGATTCATGTGTCAAATTTTGCAGTTACAAAGAAAGTTCAGTTAAAAATTCAAGGTACGGACGTCAGTTGTATTTTTCCCTACGTATTGAAAAAAAACCAGACGGCTAAATTTGATTGTAAAACACAAATGCAGTCTTCTGTCTCATTCAAAATCGTGATTATGAAATTCGTATGCTCGTAATGCACCTAAAGATATGCATTCAAGAGTGACCAATCGATGCAGCTGCTGAGCTGGAGAGGCTCGTTACTCAACGCATGAAGAGGAGCCATTTTCATATTCTAGGATTGTTTCGTAGTTGAGCCCACACATTTTTACACTATCACCGTGTGATTGGGTGCATCTGCGGCGGTTGCTTGCAGTAGGTTTCAACGCTACCAGTTACCTGCCTGCATCAAACCGAAAGCAGCGACAAGACAAGCGACAGCAAACGCGACCGTTAATTCGCGTGCTATCAACTAGGTATGCCAGTGTGAGAGCGTGTGGTCGTGCTTTATCCACAACAAGGGTAAATCACTCCCACCAATCGTTCGGTAAACAAGCTTCACTGAACGTAAATGTATGCAATGTAGGCTGGGTTAATTAAAATTTACACAAACCCTTTCTACTTTAGACGGGAAAAACTGATCCAACATTTCCAGTCCCCGAGGATAGTCCTGAATCCACTTTTTATTGGTTGAAGTTTCATCAACTCGAGGAAAAGTGTGAACGACGAATAAATCCCGATTTCGAAAAGGTAAGTTCTTTTAAAATAGTATTTGGTGCTCAAGAGTACGACAACATTTTTCGTACAGCAAAAAAGTTAATTTTATTTTAAGACTTTGGTAAAAAATCTACGTGAGATCAAAATGCGCGAAAACCAAAAAAGCATGGCAATAAATAGTCAGCGTAGCTTCCAGAAATTTCTATGGTAGTCTTTGCCTCGTACCTCATTTTAATTGGCTGTGACGCATGCATGTTTCATCAGGTGACTGCGTCAGGTTTCTGAAAAGCTCGTTAATGTGATTACTTCATGTGCATGGTCAATCTGGTCTGCCTTCTATGCATAGTTTTGTAGAAAGTGCTGAGGTATTGAGAAGTGGTCTGTGATTTTCGTATTAGCAACTTCTACACAACTGAAATGTTTCGATGAACATGCTGTTTTAATATGTCGAAACATTGGTAGAATCAAACCCAGTCTAGTGACTAGTAGTGTTCTGTTCCTGTGTAGGCGATTTTCGTTGCTAATGCGCCGTGGTATTAGGCATTTTAAATCAGCTTTCCTTTGGAAGTTTTCAATTTGATAATCGCAGGGTCTTTAGGCTATTTATCCCAAAAATCGTTAAACGCGTTTTTTTAACTTAAATGAGCTTTTGTGAAGTAAAGTTGTGTTTTATTATTGAGTGACGATTTGGACTAGATCCCTCCAGTACTGCAAGGTTTTTCCATGTCTTCATACATTTGCTCTATTTCTTTAAAATATTTTTTTTCTCTGTAAGATTGCAGATTACATTGACGAGACGACGTTATTTAAACTTAAAAACAGGTGACAAGGTAAGGATTTAAAGTGTTTTTAGTAATAAAATTTGGATGACCCACGCGGCTTACTATTGCCCTGTACTAACTCGTTGTGAAGATGGTTTATGATACAATAATGATATTACTGAATATTATAACTGCAAAGTTTGTCGGGTTGCGCAAATATGGGTACTGGGTTAGCAAAGATCATTCCTAATTAACTATTTTTGTTTAAACGAGCTTACTGTCTGTGGGCAGTGATGCCATTTGGTAGCATTTGTCGGCGGTCGATTTAAAGGCAGTGCACAAATTCCAGGTCTGACTTGGTTAATAATTCTCACTTTTTTATTTTAGGGGTGTTTGAAACGTCCATCGTACCTGGTATCGATAGTTTCTTATTTTAAACTGGGTTTATTTCACATTTCTTGTGTATGTTCTAAAAATTGGAGCCATTTTATTAGTTCTGCATTGGTTCACTTCTTCTACGGAGATTATATTTCTTTGCAACAAAGAGCCGAAGCTGTCTAAAGTAGATGATTACCGTGGAGGCATAGTTTCGATCCATTACATGGGCACAATGCTCGGCTGCAAATAGTAGAATATATGGTCAAATGACCACCTCGCCTTAAGTTTTTCTTTTAGCAGATTATGAAATATTCCCTGTCGGCTAAATACATAAACCCAATTCAGGGTAACGTTTTACTATAGCCAAGAATAGCTTAAATTCGCAGCCACATTCCCTCTAATAAAGACAATTGGGTACTATATGTTGGTAACTCAAATATATTAAGCACTCCAAGGTATACAAATAATAATGCATGAAATGTCCTTTATTAACGTTGCAAAAATTTTCGTTTGACTGGTGGTAGCTTCGTCGATTTATCTCTAAATTACATTGTGATTTAAGCTCAGTTAATTTTTGACGAAATGATCATCAACATTTGAATAGCGAAACAAGGTTTGTGTAGTAGATAATATTCACGGGTGTGTCTAAAGTCGATTTCATTTAGTTCTGTAAACTAAATCCATGTTGGGAATGTTCTAGCTCTAAGATACCTAAAGGGTATAAACTAAAAAATCTATTTTGAGACAGAGAATTTTATAATGTAATGTATAGGTCTAAAAGAGGCAGAAGTAAATCTTGTACTATTGCATTCAGCAATCGCCTTTTACACATGCACTAATCGATATTTTATAATTGTAACGTGAATTTTTATGAAAAAACCGTTTTAAATTAATAAAATTTTGCATTTGGTCAAAGTGTATAACAGAATAGCAATACCTTGAGAACTTTGTTTTAATTTGTCATTATTTGACCTCAAAACGCCGTCGATTTTTAAGGATCTTTTGTGCGGAATTTGATATGGCTGTCCATGGTGGTTTCAGTAAGCACCTGTTGTGCATATACTGTAATTTAAAGTAAGTGATTAATTTTGATATTTTGTATCTTTTTTTTATTTTTAAGGTAGCCTGATATCTAGTTCCTATTCAGGAAGCACCTTGATTTTGAACTATTTTGTGTTACTGGATTTGTGTTAGACCGTGTTTTATTTCATCAGTGGGCATTGAATCGAGAACCTATAAAATTCTTAAGCTTAACGTAAATTGATTAGTGGAGTAATTTTTTAAATACCGATATTTTTAAGACAGGCCAGTTGCTGTGTACATTTTCTTGCGCTCTTAAATCAGGCTTGTGTATGGCAACTTAGTTTTTCCTTAAGCAATGAGATGTATTGATATTAAGTATGGATCACATAAAAACTTGTATGTCATTGGTTTAGGTATCATCCACGAATTTCATTGAACTACATTTGTTTTTTATTGGTGGTGTGCGAATCCTTTTCATTCTTTTTTTTAGGTTGAACAAACCGCAGTGTTTACCTTGTCGGCACGCATTTTGCGAACAATGTACTAATATTATTTCGACTTTACGCGTATGTCCAGCCCCATTCTGTGGCAGGCCCTTCAAACCTGAGGATGTTAAAGCAGATCGTGAGGGAAATGCGATTGTGGGATTCGTGGTGGTTAAAGAATCAGGCAACTGTTTTGAATGTCCAAAGAAAAATATTCGAAGTCAGGCTTGTGGTCATTGTAGCAAACAGTTCTGCGCAGAATGTTCTAAGTCTCACAACGAAGAAGTATGTTATCCTTTATCCGTAACAGGGCTACTACCGGAATAGTCTCCAGACTCACAGTAATCCCATACCCTGGCATTGCGTGACATTAAGGTTTAGATTTTAGAGTGGTCAGATTATCTCCTGGTTAATTTTAACTACCTCTTCCTGTACTTAACAGTTGTTTAGACAATCACAGAAGCAATATTCAAAGCAGTTCATTTCCGAGCGTCGATCAAATGAGGCTTCGCCACGTCCGAAAACATGCAGTCTTTTTGGAAAGCGTTTTGATGGTAATATTCAAATGCTGTTCAATCGCTTAATTTAAATAGAATGTGTCTTTAGATTGAATCTCTTGATATTTCACTTTGGCCTGAATCGTGTGCCAATTTAATTTGCCGCTTCAAATCGACATTTAGGAAATTAACTTGCGTGTGTGTGTGCTAAGT